GATTGATCATACTAAAGGTGATAATGACATTGTTTCTATTTTTTAAATCAATAAAATAATTTAACTGTGTTTCATTTGAAAGCCTCCAAGTTTACGGGCCTCTGGTAAGGCTCAGATGCCTGTGGCCCACCATCCCCCAGCTACGGGCCCCACTGAGCAGTGCTAGCTGCTGAGGTGGCTTTGACCCTTTCAGTCTTTAACTGTTTGGTTTATATTTTTATCTGCTAAAGACAGGTAGTATAATGAGCACGACATTAAGAAATAACCAACAAATACAGCATGTGAAAGTGATAGTTCAACACGAATTTCACCAGGACCGAATTGGCATATTTTTTATGCAGCATATCCAGGTGTTGAGCACTTCAAGAACTAATGTTAACACAAAAATGTAATTCTTATACCTGATTAGGGTTATCATTTGATGGGAATTAAGCTATATGTATGCAGCTTATTTCAAATAGCAACATGAAAACTTTTTATCATTTGAAAATAAAACAATTATAAAAATAAACCAGTACCTCTTTGTAAAGTGCTCAATATATCATTTTATAAAAGCAGTTTTTAATCTGTTTCTCAAGTTGACTGTGTAGTTAAACAGCAGTATTCATTTTCATATTTGGTTTACCAATCTGAGTATTCATTTTGAGATTTGTGGTAGTCATAATGGTTTTATTTTTCAAAATTGTATCTTGAACACTGTGTCTCACTGTTGCTATGTGTCTTTATATATGTATTTGGAATATTATTGATGACAAATACTTTCATCATAATCCTTGAAATCCAAAAAGATTATTTTAAAGTTTTTCTAAAGGTGCCCATGCAATTATCAAATACTGATCCTCAGAGTCACATAGCTGTGGATAATATATTTGCAAAAAAGATGTTGCCAATTCGAGACAGAGCTAAATTAAGATATCCATGTTAAACAGTGTCTCCAGGTGGCGTTAATCTAGGCCTTATTCCTGTGTGTTAACGGTAGGCGTCAGGTTGTGGCCTAAATTTGCTTCATTGACACTGAGAATGGGCTCTTGAAGCTCGTTTCTAATAAACGGCCCTGTCACAGCGAGGGCCTGGCTTCTCTGCCTGTTTTTAAAAATACAGACGTAAACTACGGAGGAGCCCGAGCACATCGCCAGCATCCTCTAACCTGCGAATCATCTGAAAGGTAAGTGATGTAGTCTTCAGTGACTTCCCTGCCCGTACTACCTGCAGTATCTATTTCAGCTTGTAAAAATCCAGAGATCGGTTTCTGTCCTGGGAAATGACCGCCCACTTTCCTCATTGGGGCTCAGAAACTAAATTTGCCGTTGGCTGCCCTAACCGGTTTGGCTCAGTGGATAGAGCATCAGCCTGCGGACTGAAGGGTCCCAGGTTCGATTCTGGTCAAGGGCATGTACCTTGGTTGCGGGCACATCCCCAGTGGGGCGTGTGCAGGAGGCAGCTGATCGATGTTTCTAACTCTCTATCCCTCCCCTTCCTCTCTGTAAAAGCCAATAGAAAATATATATATTTAAAAAAAATAATAAAAAAATAAATTTGCCGTTGGCTAAGAGCACTCACCGGAATGAAAGAATGCTTTGGACTTGGGAAGCCGCAGGCCGAGAAACATCAGGGCAGGGTAGAGTTGGCAAGACGTCAGGCGCAGCGATCTCGATCGTCCTTTCCCGGAGCCCACGCTGGGCCGCAGCCTCCTCAGCACGAAGCTTAGGCAGCTGCTCCTCGTTGATCAGATGACAGGAGATGTAAACCTACTTGCCATCCCTGTCATCTAATAAAGAAGAGCACGCTGACTTTCAAACAACTGCACTTTGCTTTTTCTCTACTTACCAAGAAAGCAGGGGCTGTGCCAGTGTTCGCGTCAGGGGTCTTGGTGTGCCCCTTCCCTCCTCACTGTGACTGCTTTTGCGTTTGTTTCTTATGGATGTTGGAGAACGTGCCTTATTCAAATCAGTCGTCTGGTTTTACCAAAAATAAAGTTCCTTACTTCTCCTCAGTTGACTGATTCTTGATTATATCTCCAAAAATAGCAAGTTTATAGAGATGGGCACGTGGTCATCAATGGAAGGAAAGAACATTGCCCTCATTTGGCAAATTCAAACACCGACGAGCCCTGTGTGGTGTGGTGACCTCATGGCCAAGAGAAGGATGCAGGGCACCTGCGCCTGGAACCTACCATTCTCATTGGGCTTCTCCGGTGCTAGTTCTAACGAGGCTTTGGCTTTGGGGTTGTTAGCTAGAGCCTGGGAACGGCTCCCAACCTGGGGTGTGCCGATGGGAAATGCATTCCGTTGCGTGTGGGGAGTGGGAGAATCCAGACAGTGCTGACAGTTTCTGCCTCAGACTGTTGCCGAAGGAGAATTAGAAGCAGAAACCCTGCAAGACCCATCTCGGCCCCCTACCCCATTCCGGCTTTCTACCCCACGATTCTATCCTCAACTAAAAGCAACAACCTACTGACATAGTTCACAGAAGAGCTTTCTACCAAATCTGAATTCGACTTTGAAAACCTGATGTATGTTTTGCAGTTTAGAATAATAGGCCTGTATGTTTGGAGGAAGAATTCAGGGGATGCTGTTAGCAGGGTCAGGCCTCTGCTTTGATTTTAGGATGTTTAGTTAGACCCGGAACACACATCCTCTCGGGAGAGTAGTCCTTCGTTAAGAATCAGGATGCAATTCCCTCTGGCTAGGAAACCTCTGGCCCATGGGAAAACCCAGCCCAGGAGGGTGCATGGGTATCAGGATGGGGTGGAGAGCAGCGGGGACTGGCATGTACCTGCAGGAGAGCTCCACGTTCCTCCAGGTGGTCAGGTGTCTGTGGCCAGGGCCGATGAGCCTCGTCCTCTTCTATGGAGACCTGGAGGGAAGGCGATCTCAGGTGCCCAGTGTGAGGCAGCCACCAAGCCTCCGGGCACTAGCTCCTGTGAAGACCCAACTGTCCTGCATCGCCACCTCCCAACTCCTGTGTTTCGGGCTCCTTGCTGGTGGTGTGTGTGTTTGTGTGTAGAACAGGGGTGAGGGTGGGGTGGTTGATGACAGGAAACACAGGAAGGGTGGGAGCCAAGTGCTGCCCTTGGGGCCTGGGCAAATCCTCCCCCAGGGACCAGCCACCCTTGGAAGAGGACCCCCTGGGGAAGTAGCTCACCTGTGATGCTGGGGTCTTCTGGAGAGAGGGGTGCTGGACTGCGCAGCCAGGCTGCCCGCTGCCCACCCAGCTGCAGTCAGGGCTCTGGGTGGTCCGAGGTGGGGAGAGCATCTCGCTTTCTCTCTCACACACACACTCCTGGACACACATGCAGACCCACGTCCCCTGCTTCCACCCCCTGAATATCCCTCTCGCACACAAAGCTGTTTCCTGGTTCTCTGGCCCTCACCCCCACTGCTCCTCCCTCTGCTGGGGTCAGAGCTGAGGGTCTGGTTTTCAAAGTCTCCTCTCATCCTGAGGAGCCCCATCCTTGGCAGGCAGGGCTGCATCTACCCCAGGGAGCAGCCGCTAGCTACACTGCAAGTCCCCTTTCCCACAGCAACACGTCTCCCTGGACATGAGCTGG